GCTAATCTAAAGGCTTTGTTGTTGTTGTTGTTGTGTGCCCTTGAGTCGGACCTGACTCATAGTGACCCCTTCTTGGGTTCCCAAGGCAGTTATCACTACGGAAGTAGATTGCCCAACCTTCCTTCCGAGGAGTGGCTGCAGTTGGAACCCACCCAGTACCGCAGAAGAAAAGTCCTGGCAATTTGATTCCATTAAGATCACATCCGAGAAAACCCTTGGGGTCACCATGAGTCAGCATCGACTGGACGACAACCACCACCACCATCGTTGCACGTATTTGACCACAATCATTAAACAAAACCAGTAACAGCAGCTAGAGCAGCTAAGAGCAGAGTGGTTGCTTGCTCCAGGCACTGGACTGAGCCCTTGACTCCGAATAGCTTGTTTAGTATAATTATTTTCATTTGACAGATGAGAAACTGAGGCACACATAGATTAAGCAATGCTCAGTGTCACATAGACAATAAACGGCAGAGTCAGGCCTTGAACCCAGGCAGTCTGACACCAGGGCTGCAACTGTTGGACTACATTGCTATGCCCCGTGAGCCTTATCTGGGGCCCTGGTTATAGTAACATTCCAAAAAACCAAAACTGAACCCATTGTCATCTAGTCAATTCCAACTCATAGTGACCCTCTACATTAACTACTTCTAAATGAATCACTGCCTGACATGGACTCAATTCAGAAAGTAGATAAGAGGAAAAGTAAGAAAAACAAAAATATAATTAGCACAACTGAGGCAGTACAACGGGGTAAGGATGCTGAGCTGGCTTTGGGGGTCCGCACACCTGTTTCTGTCACATTAGCTGCTGCATGATCTCAGATGAGAAACTTAACCATCCCATACCTCAGTTTTCTCATTTATAAAATAATAATAATAATACCTTCCTTAGGAAGTTAAAACGGAGTCCTAGAGGAGTAGTAGTTAACTATTCGGCTGCTAATTGGTCAGTCATCAGTTCGAACCTGTCAGCCACTCCAGGCGAGAGAAAACTTGGCAAGCCTACTCTAGATTGCAGCCGAGGAAACCCTGTGGATCAGTTCTCCTCTGTCCTATAAGCACCCAGTAGCAACACGAAGTTAAATGAGCTAGATAATGCTCACAAAGGCAATCATGCAGCAGTTTACAAGGATAAAACTCACCGGCTTCTGTATTAAAAGCCCTAGAGAGTACAACCCGAACGCTCCTGAGAAGCGAGGATGCAAGGAGACTTCATCTCACTCACTCTGGACGTGCCGTCAGGAGGGACCAATCTTTGTAGAAGGACATCATGCTTGGTAAGGTAGAGGGTCAGCAAGAAAGAGGGAGACCCCCCTCATTGAGAGGGACTGACAGCGGCTGCAACAATGGGCTCCAGTGTACCCACTAATCACGGCACAGGACCGGGACATCATGCTTGGTAAGGTAGAGGGTCAGCAAAAAAGAGGGAGACCCCCCCCCCATTGAGATGGACTGACAGCGGCTGCAACAATGGGCTCCAATGTACCCACTAATCACGGCACAGGACCGGGCAACGCTGCATTTTGTTATACACAGAGGCACTGTGAGTCAGAACCAACTTGACAGCATCTAACAAGAAGAGAAAGCAAAAAAGGTAAAAGTTAGAAGGTTCAACTAAGAACAAAGACTAGCAAAGTCTTGAAAACTTCTTGGCCATAACCAAACACCTTGAGAGAAGGAGTTGCTGGACCTGGGGCTCAGAACTGTAGTCTTAGGGGACATCAAGGCCAATTGGCATAACATGGTCCACAAAGACAATGTAATTTTCTGTTCTGTTTTGGAAAACCACCCACTTTGTGGTATTTTGTTATAGCATCTTTAGGTAACTAAAAGAGTCCCTTGGAAGATATAGTAAATGTAACCCCCTCAACACCCAGAACACTGATAACCTAGTCAGAACCCACTGCCAACAGGGAGGAGACAAGGATGATGTAGAGCTGATATTAGCCAGGGAGAAAGCCTGCAATTGCTCGAGAGGCAAGACAGAAACAAAGCCCTTGTAAAGGCTTTTCATACCCTGCATTAAAGATAAAATCTAATTTAGTTGAAAATGGATGCACAGAAATTAAACACCCCATGTGAGGCTTTCGTTGTTAAGTTGTGCACCTTGTAACGAGAGCTTTACTAAATTTATTCCTTTGACTTGAAAATAAAGATGCTTTTTGAAATTTGATTTGTTGTTTCACAAATTGTTTTAGCTTTGTGAATAGTACAGACTCCATTTCTGATCTGTCTCGAACAAAAATAGAGCATTAAAATGTTTAAGATTCAATCAAAGGCTTGCTGTGAGTGCCACAATATTAGAATAACAGAAAAATCAATTCGATTTTTATTTTGAACATGATTTGTCACAAAGAGCATTCTAACAGATAATGCTGATTATATGGTAGCAAATGTAATTTATATATACTGAGCTCGACGCCTTTGTCAGAGTCACCATTAAGGAATTTGACATATATGCAGGGGAACAATAAATGTCAACTGAAATATATACCAGTGAGCTATAAATGGGATGCTGAAAGAGCCACGTCTGCACACGCTGTAGTTAGAAGTAGTAATATGCAGTCTAAAGTAGCTTGTGTTTTCAAACAAGAAGTCTTTTTATGCTGTCATTTTAAATATCTCATATTTTCTGAAGGTCAGCAATAAATGGCACTATTAGCATTAAAAGCTAGTAAAAGAAAAAGTAATTTGTTTTTCATTTAACATAACATTTTATGAAACGGCTTTGTAAAGTATTCATTTTTTTTTCCCCAATGGAGGCTGAGAATACAGGATGAAGACGTCTGATTCTTAACGGAGGGTTATTTATTTATTTATTGTTTCTGTTATTGTTAACATCTTGAATTAGTGAGATCTTTGTAGAATTATGTGTTTTGTGCCTGGGAGGTTAATGCTAAGAAATAAAGCTGTCTACACAACTGTGGCCTCATTTAGCTCCAGCAGGGTGCTGCTCTGGTCCTGGGCTTGGTCCTCGTTAGAAGTGCCATTTGGTACAGGGATGACAGCATGATGCTGCGGAGAGGAGGCAAGACTGGGAGACTGAGGATGAAGGGCTCTAATGCTATAGAGACAGATGATGTCCAAGAGAAAGAGGAGGGCAGGCTCTTCTTGCTGTGGCAGGAACAGTGGCAGATGAATCAGGATAGGAATTCAAATACAGACATGGGATCACTTCAGGGGGAGTCAGCCACAGAAAGTCACTCAGTTCCCTTTTACCAGTGGCCCCCCCAGCTGCCACAGGTCCTGAACTACAAAATAACGTAAACTCAATCTGTCTCTGCAACTCTTTCTCTCTCCTCCTTTTCTCTTAAATTTGGCTAAAAAATTAAAACTGTAACAACAATAAAAAACAACATAACCATCACCTGAAATTAGCAGAGATGACCCTTTTATCATATTTGCTTCAAATCCTTTTGTAATGAAAAATAAATATGACCTCATGGATAAAGAGTTCTAAATCCCCTTCTAGGCCATGTTTTGGTATTTTGTACACCTATGCAGTGAGTAGTAGTGTTTTGCTGATCAAAATATACGTAAATGCTAATTTTTGTATCTGAATGACATCTTTCTGACCCTTGCTTGAGAAAAGCAAGGACATTCAACAGGGCATCTGTGGATTCTAGCTTTGTTGATGCCTATACATCTTAGTTCACTCTTTTTAATTGCTAAAGTAATGGTTTGGGTCATACGATGAGTGGGATTATTGTGTTATTTCAATTTCTATTCTCCTGATTACAAGTGAGGTTGAATCTCATATTTATTTGTCATTCATGTTTCTTCTTTGTGGATTGCCTGCTATGTCCTTTGTCCATTTTTCTCTTGGGCTGCCCTTTTCTTTATGTATTCTGAATACCAGTCCTTTGTCTACTGTGTCCATTTCAAATACCTTCTCTGAGGCAGTGGCTTGTCTTTCTCTTTGTCTTTGGAGTCTCTGTTATTCTTTTTTTTTTAAAAAAATTTATTGTGATTTGGGTGAAAGTTTAGGGAGCAAATTCATTTTCTAGACAGCAGTTCATACACATTTTACTTCATGACATTGACTGCAATCCCCATGATGTAACAGCTCTCTTCCCACTTCTCTCTGAAGTTACTTCTTCCTTGTGTCTCTTCCTATGCCTTATCCCCTGCCCCCAAGCTATCTCCCTGTGCAAATGCTGTCCTTTTGTTCTCCCACCATTCTAAGGAGTGTATCTACCTGGTGTAAATGTTCACCCTTTATGCCTGTCTATTGTTTGGCTGAAAGCCACAGGAGTAAGTTCAATTCCAAGCCTGAAGAGTTACTAGGGGCCATAGTCTCAGGGGTTTCACCAGGCTCTATCAGACAAGTAAGCCTGGTCTTTTTTATGATTTTGAATTTTGTTCCACTGTCTCTGTTATTCTTAAGAACAACCCATGTCCTCCAGCCCTTCCTTTTCCATTAGTTGACTGTGTTGTGTGCCAGGTACTGTATTAAGTGCTTGACATGCCTTGTCTTATTTAATCCTTACAATCATCCTGTGCAGTTGGGCAAGTAAGTGTCGCCACTAGAGAAGTTAAGAAACCAGCCCCGATGGCACGGGCAGAAAGGGGGGATCTGGGAGACGAGCCTGGCTCTGCCAGAGCCCAGAGGCTGAATGTTTCACCTGATATCACACCATGAGAATTAGTAAGAGTGAAAACCAGAAAGTTCATCGCAAAGGTAAATGGGAACAGCCACAGTGGTTCTCAACTTTGTACATCAGTATTAAAACATACTGATGCTAGGCCCCACTCCAGAAATTCCCATGGTCTAGGGTGTGGCTTGGACAAGGGGATTTTCTCAGGCATTACCCATGGCCAACTGGCTCTAGTCCCAATACCCATTTCTGAAAATAACGCTAGAACATGGAAAAGAATTGTACGTCAATGTCAAACTACCGTCACCATGTCAAGCCGAGTGCTTTTTATAAAATTTATTACCACAAAGATAAAAGGGCAGCACCACCTTTCTAACAAGGGTAAAGAGATTGTAAAACGTCTTCTTGCACTGTGTCCCCGCTACAGAACATATACCTGTGGAGGAAAACATTTTCTGCGTGAGGTCCTTTTGCTTGTGGAAATGTGCTCTCAGATAAGTAGAAGTAAACAGCATTTATCCAACCCCTTGGAATTCAGATGGCTTTGACTGAAGATCTTTGTTATTCCCAGACAGGGAGTCTCACTAAACAAACCAGCTCACTGTGAGCTTGTAAGGAACTCAAAGGAAATCAGCGTGTCGAACCGTTTTATAAAGTCGTTGGTGTCTCTAGTGGACCTGCAGTTTCAGGCCTAGAAATGGGTTCCCGGCTGCCACGAGGAGCTCTCCCTGTCAAGTTCAGATCATGAGGATACACTGCTTGTGGAAATGTAAAATGGCACAGCCACATTGGAAACTGGTCTGGTGGTTCCTCTAAAGGTTAAACATGGAATTACCATATGACCCAGCAATTTTCCTTCTGGATAAAGTCCAAGAGAAATGAGAACATACATCCACACAAAAATGTGGACATAAATATTCATAGCAGCATTATTCATAATAGCCAAAAATTGGAAACAACTCAAAACCTATCAACTAATGAATGGATAAATAAAATGTGGTATATTCATACCATGGACTATTACTCAGCAACAAAAAGGAATAATGTCCTGACACATGCTACAACATGGATAAAACCTTGCAAACATTTGCTAAGTGAAAGAAGTCAGTCACAAAAGGACAAATATTGTATGATTCTATTTATATCAATGTGCAACAAAAAAACCAACCCAGACTCACTGCTGTTGAGTCGTTCTTGACTCATAGCGAACCCTCCTTGGGTTTCTGAGGCGCTATCTCCATGGAAGTAGATTGCCCAATCTTCCTTCCGAGGAGTAGCTCATGAGTTTGAACTGCCAGCCTTCTGATTAGCAGTCAAATGCTTTAGGCATTACACTACCAGAGCTCCCATATGGATGTGCAGAATAGAAAAATCTATATAGGCAGGCAGTCAATCAGTGGTTGCCTAGAGCTGGGGTAGGGGTCCTTGAGATGGCTAATGGGTATGTACTTCTTTGTGGGATGATAAAACATGTTCTAAAATTGACTGTGGTGGTGGTTGCACTCTGTGACTATGGTAACAGTCACTGAATTGTACACTTGAATGGGTGAATTTTATGGTATGAATTAAATCTCAACAAAGCTATTTTTACAAAGAAAAAAAAAAAAGATCATGGAAAGTTCTTGCTTCTGAGGGGGTGGGAGCCTGGCCAAACTGAGGCACCCACCAAGCCGTGAGAGGCAGGTGCTTCTGGCCTCCTCCTTCCCTTGTTGGTGTCCATGGCTAAAGGGCGAGAGTGTGGTCAAGCCAGCCCTCCCTCAGGGCTCCGCTTTGGCATGTGGTTCCTTCCTGTGGGGAACCTGATGTGGTACTTGGGTGTTTGGGCTATCCAGGCAGACCTCAGAGATATTGCGGGTTCAGTTCCAGACACCCACAATAAAACGAATATCACAATAAAGCAAGTCACACGAATTTCTTAGTTTTCCAGTGCGTGTCAATGTTACGTTTACACTACACTGCAGTCTGTTAAGTATGTAATGGCGTGATGAAAAAGTTTGAAATATTGTGAGAATGACCCAAATGTGACACAGAGACAGGAAGCGATCACATGCTGTTGGAAAAACGGTGCCCACAGACTTGCTCGATGATGCAGGGTTGCCACCAACCTTCAATTTGTGAAAAAGGCGGCAAAATCTGGGAAGTGGAATAAAGCGAAATGCAATCAAACGAGGTCTGCCCATCTAGTGTGTGTGCCACACAGTGCTTGAAAAAAATAACTTCCCTCTCCACCCCCACCTATCCCAACTTTCCCACAACGCACTCCCCAGCCAGGCCGAACGAACTTCTCAGCTCCTCATCGGCATCTAGCTGGACAATACATGGCAAGGGGCACTGGACTGGAGGTCACAGGGCCTGGGTCCGAGTCTTTGCCGAGCCTTACACTTGTGCTCTGCTCTCAATTATGCAAAGTCATGGCACAGCCGCAGGCGCACTTGATCCTTCCAGCCACATGCCCACAGATCAAGGTTATTAACATGCCACAGCCAGCAAAATTATGTCCTGGCTGAGCCAGATCTGCCGTGTTGCAGAGCACATTTTAATGTATGATATTCTCTGCACTACCTTCCTTGTGGGACTGTAGACACGTCCCTAGACTCTGAATCTCGAGTTGCTCAACTTAAAACGAGAGCAGTTGAGAGGTGACATCTCAGTTTCTTCAAACTCTAACATTTTCTTATTATCCTCCTTTAAGGTGCCCATTCTATCTTTTTATATTTTAAATGCAGTTATGTTCCATCCCTTTGCCTGTCAAGCAAGATTCTGTTCCCTCATAATGAGAAGAGCTTGGCCGCTGTGAAATAGATTTCCAATCCATTCCATATCTCTCTCATGTCATGGTCTTCAAACAAACCAATTTACACGAACAACTGCACACTGAAGTTAACTGACAGATTCCTTTTAAGTACTGCCTAGGTATTTTACTCACTGCTTGTAATAAAATAAAATAGTCTCACATTTACCTGTTTCTTGACATTATGCCTTGCCCCTGTCAACCTGAATTTGGTCTCAGAGAAATTATATTTGATTTTCCAAAATAAAGCAGATGGATATAGGGAGAATTAAGATGAATACTTGGGTACATGAATGAGCAGATGGTAGAGTGAATGGATGGCTGGACGGCCCAAAGAATGAAGAGCTAGAATCTGGATGGATAGTGGACAGGCAGAAAGGGACAGAGCGACAGTTGGACAAGTAGATGGATACACAGATGGGTAGGAGGGTGATTGGATGGACAGATGTGTGCACAAATGAATGAATGAATAAATAAATAGAAATAATCAGACTTAGATGGAGTAAAAGATACGTACTCGGTTCCATCTTCACCACTTTGCACTGTGACTTGGGAAGCCCCCAGCGTGGGCCGGAACAGATTTATGACATTGTTGTTCCAGAGGAACTTAACCTTCTCGATTTTTCCAACATTGAGGTCCACATCAATGTCAAGGGCATGACTTGCATCTGGTCGGAGGGATCCTCTGAAATTAGACATAAAATGTTACATGAGCTGGCTATATGGATCCGGGAGGTGATAACAATGCACCGTTTTCCCAAACAATGGCTGCTGTTGTGGGTTTTGCCTCCGATGACCAGACACGTGCTCGGGAGCAGTCCAAACAGAACCCTCTGTGCAGAACACGGCTCTCCACTGTCTGAGTTGGTCGCTAGAGGAGAGTCAAGCATTTGGAGTAGCGTACTAACTCCACAAATTCACCAGAGGACTAACTTAGGTGATGACTCATGTTTAAAGTTGCATGTGGTTCAGCTAGCAGGGTCCCTGTTCATAGGATTGGTGTTAATCAAGAGGTTGGAAGTTCAAGTCTCCCCAGAGGCACCTCAGAAGAAAGGCCTGGCAATCTACTGAAAAGTCAGCCATTGAACAACCTCTGGAGCACAGTTCTACCGACACACATGTGGTTACCAGAAGTTGGAGGAGACTCCACAGCAACTGGTTTTCATATTGTAGCACAGGAAGCTGTCAATGAATTTTAATTCAACATGAAAATTATGCAAAAGTGAGTGCAAAAATAGAATCAAAATTTCCAGCACCGGCTAGGCATTCATCCAGCACAAACGTACCAAGTGCCTCAGGTGCCCACAATATGCCTGGTGCTGAGCCAACCACAGCAATGGGAATGGGGCCCCAGGCTTCAGAGAGCAAGAGTGTGGTGGTGGTGGTGGTGGTGGTGGGGGATGGAGTGTGTGTATTGGGGTGATGAATCGTGGATGTGCTTCACCTGAAGAGAATTTGATACTCCCAAAAGCTGAGTCAGCAAGCTGTAATTGACCGTCCAAAAGGAGTAGGGACATTGACTCCTGTACTGTGGGGGCCTCAAACCTCTCGTTTGTAAAATGAGGTGACTGAACTAAGATTTCCTTCCAGCTCTGCCACTCTAGGACTCAAGGGTTCTGTTTTACAGATGGCCTGGGTTATAAGGTGGTTCATACCCATCCTTCCTGTGTATGTGAATAATCTATCATGGGAAATATGCTCATTTCACTAATAGCCGACTTACTTGAAAATCTCATACTGCTTTGAGTTTCCATTACTTCCATACAGAGCAATCCTGATGTACCCACTCACTTTTTTTTTCCCAGCGAGTGTGACAGATACCCTGTACCGCCAACCTGTCCAAAGAAATACAATCAGTTCAATTAACTAACTCATTTTGTTGAACAACGACCTCATGGAGGCATTCTTGTTCCAAGCTCTGAATACCCCCTGGGTGAGCGGACAATGTGAGCAATGATTTCCTTTAATGAAGCTGGGGGCCCAGGAATACTGTTCTATATAGGAGTGGGGGATTTAGAGGACAGTAAACAGCATCATTCAGCACAGTATCTCATCAATACAGTTAAGTGTGTGCCCTAGTCGGTGAAGGGTGGCTGGTTACTGCACATGCGTACTCCACATCAGTCTATGAGAAGGCCACAGGGAGGTGAGATGTTTGCGACCCTACCATTTGGATAAATCACCTGGCTGCTCTCTCTCATTTAGTTTTTTGCTATTAGCACATGCATTGGATCTCATCTCAAAAGCAAAACAACACAAAGTTAAAACCCCATCTACCCACCCCCATCCCATGTTCTTCTCTGAGGTAACCAGTTTGACGTCTATCCTTAATGATTTTTCCCTGCAGGTGACATCTGGCAATGTCTGAAGACCTTTTTGGTTGTCAGAGCTGGGGTGGTATGTTGGGGTGTACTACTGGCGTGTAGTGTGTAGAGAGAGGCCATGGATGATGCTAAACATTTTATAATGCACAAGACACCTCCTTACAACCACAAATTATCTAGCCCCAAATGTCAATAGTGCTGAGATTGAGAAACCAAGATCTAGGTCATTCTCTGAACATTTGTACACATACATATGTATCTATATGAATAGATAGACACATGGAAGTATTCTTATCCCATGAATACCCATGGGTGAGAGGAATGTGACTAATGGTTTATGTTAATGAAGTTGAGGGCCCAGGAATCCAGATTCTAGGTGGGAGTGAGGGACTCAGAGAGCAGTAAATACTGTCATTCAGTACAATCCCTTACCAATAATGCTTGTTGCTTCTTAAAATGATTCGCAGTAATTTTTAAATGAGTAAAATAGAAACTTACGGGTAAAGTTACCGTTGTCTCCTGTGTTCAGGAAAAAGGTTTGTCCCACAGCATTGGTTTTCCCTTTAAATTGGTCAGCATAGTGTCCCATTTTGGGACAGCCTTCTCTTGGACAAGGGAAACATCCATTCTAGTAAAAAACAAAACCATAATCTGTCTGTTAGTGATAGCCTTTTACTCACTCACTTGCTCACTGAACCAATTTACCTTTCCATCCATCTCCCCATCTGTCTATCCACTCATCCATTCACCCACTCATCCTCTCATCTGTCCATTCAACCTTCCATCTACCCACTCATCCTCCACCCGTCCACTCAACCATCCATCTATCCATTCACACTCCCTCCATCTCTCATTTACCCATATATTCTCCCATCCATCCATCCATCATCTACCTGTCCATCTATCCATCATCCATCCATCTATCCATCCACCCATCCATCCATCCATCCACCCATCCATCCATCATCCATCCTCCCACTCATTCATCTGTCCATGCTCAGTATTGTGTATAGAACTCTGCTAGGCCCTGAAGGGTACCCATAGAAGTACCTTGAAGATGTAAGAGTGTAGTTGAGGAGACAAATCATATCCAGGAAGCAGTAAAATTAAAATATGTAAGAGAAATGAAGAGAAAATCTCAAGGGAGAAGTAAATGGGAAAAACAGCAAGCTACTTCAGGAAAGGAGAGGAAGAAAAGACTTACGACACTTTTCACTATAATGTGAAATATTCGTCCAGACCAGTTGACTGTCCCTCCCCCACATTTGATGTCCCCCTAAATGGCAGTTCCTTTGAGCCTGCAGGAGGCAGCTTCCTCCCTTTGGCTCAGTCTAGCTAGCACTTTATGTCACAATGCCACCGGTCCTTTGTTCTTTTCCCTCTCTACCACATCCATCCTGCACTGAGAGCAAAGCTATTTTGTAACATATAAAGCATAAGACAAGTGCTGGCGGCCAGGTTCCCATGCCCACCAAATAACTATAACATCCAATGCTACTTACTAAGTATGCAGCAGACCTTGATGATAGACTATGATGTCCTGTTGACCTTAGGGTTCAACCCAAGAATGTAGAGGTCAACATTAGCTTGAAAGGAAAAAATGTAGACCTGAATATATTTTTATTTATACCTTTGAGAAAAAAAAAATAAATTTTAACACATCAAACTTTTGCAAACCCCAAGTGTAACTGATTGAGCTAAAAGTCATCAAAGAAGCTCAAACTTAATCACTAGGTGAAAGGCAGCTGGGAAACAGTATGACCTCGCAGATGAGTTAGGGAAAAAGTACCTTCATAATGGAGAAATCTGGCAGACACCGTGTGTCTCACCCCAGTCTCTGATTACTTAAGCAAGTCCTCAAACTTAATGCCACCAAATAACGGGACAAACTGACTTTCCTGTGTCTGGCTGGGATGCACTGAGGAGGACACACACTGCCCAGTCACCACAAAGAAGCAAACCAACAAATCCAGATGGTGCAATAGTCTACACACCACCAGCCCTGAACCTCACAGCTCTCACTGTCCTACATGACCAAGGGAAATTGAGAGAACTACAAGGTCGCTACAAGGTCCTATATAGGTTGAAGAAGACTAAAGAGACAGGACAATAAACACAATGTAAGGAAAAGAAACAGTGAGAGAAGGACAGGCAAACCTTCCAGAGGACACTGTCAGGACAATTGCAGCAATGCGAATATGGATTTTATTCTAGAAAACAGGAGCGTATCAGATGTTAACTTCCTCGAATGTGGGCCTGTCCGAGAACGATGGTGTTCTTGGGAGATGAATGCTGAAGTACTTATAAGTAAAGTGTCATGTTCAATATACGGTGACACAATTTGGGGAAAAGGTTTATGTATATGATATAGACAGAGTATGCACACTCTCTTTCTCCACATATACACACACACACATAAATAAATATGGACATAAAGTGCCCTGGTGGCACAATGATTAAGCACTTGGCTGCTACCCAAAAGGCTGGCAGTTGAAACCCATTGGCTACTCCATGGTAGAAAAGACCTGCTGATCTGTTCCTGTAAAGATTACAGCCTAGAAAACCTATGGGGCAGTTCTGCTCTGTCCTATAAGGTCGCTATAGAGTTGTTAAGGAGCTCTAGTAGCATAATGCCTAAGGCACTTGACTGCTAACCAGAAGGCTGGCAGTTCAAACCCACCAGCCACTCCTCGGAAGGAAGGTTGGGCAATCTACTTCTGCAGTGCCACTGCCTCAGAAACCCAAGGAGGGGTCGCTATGAGTTGAGTCAACTCGACGGCACATAACAACAACAACAAAAACATAAGAGTTGTTATGGGTTGGTATCAACTTGACAGCTGTTTTGGCCCTCTTGTGCTGCTCCAACAGAAATACTACAGGTGTATAGCTTGAACAAACAGTGCTTCATTCTCTTACAGTTTAGGAGGATAGAACTCTGAGTTCAAAGTGCCAGCTCTAGGGGCTGGGTGAAGGCCCCCTGACCTTGGGTTTCAGCTCTGCCTCTTGCTCCTGGCCCACTGAAGTTAGAGGCTTCTCTTAACTCAGATAGTTGCTGCCTGCTGAGGCTGACAAACCCAAGATCGACAAGTAAAATGGCACAGTCCCAGAATTATCAAGCAACACGGCAGGCCAGTAGTTCAAGGCCAGAAACAGTCTCAAGATCGGCAGGCAGCATGGCAGGCCGTTGAGATGAAGACCCAGGCAAATACAAGGATCCAGATGTGCCAAAAAGTTCAAGACCTTCCTCAAAGCTTCTCTTTATACGCTGGAAGTAGGACACATCCCTAAGGCAGCTAGTCAGCTATTCGCAGTAGATTCCACTGGGGCGTTGATTATCAGTCTCAACATGGGGAATAACTACATCAGTTGCCCAGCCACCCAAAACCAGGCCCAGCCAAGTTGACACACAACCTTAACTACCACAACGACAAATAGCAGTAAGTATATATATGTGTGTGTGTGTATGTGCATATATATGTATGTATATATGCACACACACACACACACACATATATATAGTTATTGTTATATATATTATAAATATATACTCAAAGCCATCGAGTAGGACCCGACTCATAGCGACCCCTTCTTGGGTTTCCGAGGCAGTATCTCTACGGAAGTAGATTGCCCCATCTTCCTTCCCACCAGCCTTCTGGTTAGCAGTCAAATGCCTTAGGCACTGTGCTACCAGAGTTCCCATATATGTATACATATATGGGAGCTCTGGTGGCATGTGTGTGTATGTGTGTGTGTGTGTGTGTGTGTGTATATATATATATATATATATATATATATATATATATATATATATGTTGTTGTTGTGTGCCATCCACTCGGACCCGACTCATAGCGACCCCTTCTTGGGTTTCCGAGGTGGTATCACTACAGAAGTAGATATATATATATATATATATATATATATATATATATACACATACATACACATGTATGTGTGTGTTTCTAACACACATATATATGCTTCTAAGCTACAGAAACAAAAACATCACTAACAGGGACATCACCATCTTCCCAGGACCCCAGGCTGACCTACCTCCTGAAACTCATCGTAGGAGGCACATGGGTAGCCCAGGAAGCCATCGGGGCTGAGGATACTGCTTGAGTAATACTTGTAGCTTCTCAGGTGGTTGCAAGCTGCAAAGTCCCGGGTTCCTGGGAAAGCAAAGGCCGCAGCAGCTCACAGGAGGTGCTGCACCTCAGGGGCAAGGACTCCGACTGAGTGCGGAATTGCAGGTGGGGTCAGCGTCCTGAGCACCCTGGTCAGAATTCAAAACTTCTCTCACTGGCTTTCACATACTTAGAGGCAAGTAGGAAATTTGAAAACTGGTTTAGGAAGGGAAGTCAGTCTTCCCACCATTTGCTGAGGAGAGCTACTCAGGCTGGTCACCTGGTTGAGAAGTGATAAGTTTTAACAAGTGCATTTATCCAGCCCTCCAGGGACCAGGCAGGTAATAGAAATGAATAAGTACATTATGGGGGAGAGAGAGGAGAGGAGAGAGGGTGTGTGCTAGCTTTAAGGGGACCCTACCCATCTCAGCCAGTTGTTCTGTTAAAAGACAAGCCCAGATTTCTTTGATCTTCTGGTCTTCCATGAGAAGCCAGAATCTTGACTTTCATATGAAAATCTCTCCCTGCTTAAATGTTGGGAATGCATTCTCAGGTCTAAAATAGTCACTGTGAAGGTCAACCAAAGACTGCCATGAGCTACATACGTCCTGTCTGTGGGCAGCAGTTTTGAGAACTTCAAATGAACTAACTTCTCTGTGCCTATGGGCCCAGACTGAGAAACACCCCCCCCCCTTTGCTACTCCGAGCACAAGGTAAGAACAGTGGAGAACAAGGTCACAGTGCCCTCTGGCCACAGTTTTTCATTGTTTTTTTTATTGACGCATTATTCTTTGAACCAAAGTCTTGTTTAGAAAATTGTTTTCCATTTCTCCAGGGACTTGGTACAAAGCATCCAATGGTGTGGTCCATGGGGACCGTGCACACACCTGACGGCCACGCCTAGGGGGTCCGCTGGGCTTTGTTCGCTGCCCGAGAAAGGATCCTTGCCCTTTGTGTGGGTGGATTAGCTCTCCACAGCATCCAGCTCCCCCAGACCCCACTGCCCGGCGCCTTCCAGCTGAAGCTGGCTTCCGCATGCCCCACACCAATGCTCCTTACCAGACAACAGAACCTGTTTCAAACTTAATTGTTTCTTTCATCCCAAATTGCTGCCCAGGGATACCATAATAGAGGAGAAAGTGGATTTAATTGTTCCTCAATGCCCAGGGCCTGATGGCTCGGAGCTCCACACAATAGAAACACACTCCAGAGTTCATGGGCTTGTTCCCTCTAAATTGCCTCTTTAATTAAACCTGGGCTCGTGTCTATTGTGTGAGCCTGCTCGCCATTTCTGGGAGTGGGCAGCTATTATTGTAGGGTTCTTTCAGGAAGCCCGGAACAGCCACATCTTGCCTGCAGTTACCTGGAGTGGAGCTCACAAGGGGTCAAAACTCTGATTCTGTCAGTGATTGTGGCCGTTGCTTTACTGACTCTGCTCTTTAAACAGAAGGAATATTAAAATATCACCCAAGGCCACTTGACTCAATTGAACAGACTGTACTAGGGACTGAGTGGGGTGCTGGGGTGTCTGGGATCCCCCTGCTGTAGTCTTGAACCTTAGGGGCCTCAGCCACAGGAAAATAAAGACTGAAATCAAACAGTTATTGGACCGAAGCACCCACTTTCAAGGAGAATGGGGAAGGGTCATCTCCAGGGAGAGGCAACAGGAAAAGCCAAAGGCCAGCCAGGGCACACTCAGTGAAGGGGCTTTGATGCCACCTATGTTAGGCAGATAGGTGCAGTGGTGGTTCAGTGGTAGAATTCTTGTCTTCCTGTGAGAGACCCAGGTTCAATTCTTGGCCAGTGTACCACAGGAGCACCCATCCGTCAGTGGAGGTTTGCATGTTGCTATGCTATGATGCTCAACAGGTTTCACCAGAGCTTCCTGACTAAGCCAAGCTAGGAGGAAGGTCTGATGACCTACCTGTGAAAACCCTATGGATCATGATGGTTTGACCTGTAGCTGGTCACGGGATGGTGCTTGACTGGGTGCGTGGGGTTGCCATGAGTCACGGACCGACACAACAGCAGCTAACAACAGCAACAGTATTCGGGGCACTGAGCTGTGCTCTCAGATACATGGGAACACACACAAAGCTCCTAGAAGCCACCACAAGTCCCTCAGGCCTCCAGTTGTCCCTCTCCAAGCACACCCAGACAGCTCTTACCACCCTTCTCTTCTCACTCACTCACTCCTCTTTCATCCCTAAGGCCTGACAACAGCAAATGGCAAGAAAGTCCAAGCCCTCAAACCTTTACTCACGTCCTACGGTTCTGTAGGGCGTAGACGCCGAAGGTAGGACCAACGGCCAAGGCCAAAGCTGGGGCTTGCCTACGTGCCAGTCCAGCCCTATGCATGGGCTGACACACTGGCAAACTGGGGGAGTGGCACAGGCTGGAGGGTGAGATCAGGGCTCTGCAGCCAGAAATTGGTCTTAAATACAGGATGGCCTTTGGCACGTTATATAACTTTTCTGAGCCCCCATTTCCTCATCTATAAAACGGGGCTACTCAGAGTGCCTGCCTCATGACAGTGTTGTGAACGTGGCTGGCACGAAATAAGCACTCAAGAGATGGTGGACGTTCAGTACCACGAAGGCCCAGCCATACACCGGAGCAGTGGCTGCCCTGCTTCCTTAGCTCACGTACCTTCCCATATTCCATTGATATCCACGATGGTTGACAGGATATTTTTCCGACAGCCCGGCATTTGCTTTCCTCCATTCGGAAAGAAATCCAAATGGCCCACCTTTTGGCTCATCCCAAAGCCTGAAACATTTGAAGAAGTGAGCAGGGAGGTGAGTGGTCCCAAAATAAGGTCGTGGCTACAAAAAAGTAACCAGAGTAAGAACCTTCCAGCAAATTCTCCTCTCAGCACTGCTACCACCGCCCCAAGGAGAAGTGGGCAAAGGAAGGGAGATAAGGGCTCTGGGTGAGTGCTTGTGTGTGTGTGTGTGTGTGTGTGTGTATGTGTGTCTGTTTTGGGGAGGCTCTGGCCTGATGTACCCTTACACCAGTACGTAATAATAGACTCATCTCTGTCTCTGCAATCTGGCGCAATTGCAATCTGCAGTATTTATTACCATATTCCTTTTAAAATGTTAGTTTCTATGTTATAGTGACATCCTGAGACCATATAATATGGTATCATTCTGCTGAGAGTTTTAGCATAGTAGGTAGCTACAAGGGCCTTCCAAGCACACAGAGCTGTTATCAAATCCTGGTTCTACTTGCAGACTTCATGATGGTGAGAAGTTACTTCACCTCCCTGAGACTCAGTTTCCTGAGGTAGAAAATGGTGACAACCAGACCCACTTTTCAGGAACGTTACAAGGACTGATGAGATAATGTGGGAAAGCACTCACTCAGCACAGCATGTGGTAGACCCTTACCAGGTGACATCTTCAGTAAAACCATACCCTTTATTGGCAAGTTTCATGAATGGTTATGTAAGAGAAGAACATCAAAAAGAGAATGTTGACTTCAGAAGGATTAAAAAGGGATATATTTAAACTTCAATGAAACAAGCTATAACCAAAGCTTTGACAAAAGAATAAGAAAAAAGCCCCCAAATCAACTTTATGCTTCGGAAGAACAAGTCACGCATAATAATGTATAGATTTTCTTCTCTGGATATTGGCAGATTGGGAAAGATGCCGTGTTGGCAGACTGAATGATGCCTTTAATAGGCTACGGAAGTATTTCTTGTCCTACCTGGGCCTCAAGTGGACACAGCTGGCACTGTACTGGTTGTTTATTATTGCTGTTTATTATTTGTTGCTGTTGCCATTTTGACCATTGGGTGCCCAAGCTATTCCAGTGTTAACCATTTTGAATATCACCCTGGCTGTGTGTGTGTGTGTGTGTGTGTGTGTGAGAGAGAGAGACACTTGGGCTATAGGCCTCGTCACCAGGAGGTGGAGTGAGGAACTCACCGAGGAAAGGGATTATGGGAGCAGAATCTGTGTGAATCACATCCACAAACATGGCGTCCGATGGGTCCAGCCGAACCTCCTCGGATGTGCCCTGGAAGCATGGCTCTGCAGGATCCAGCCCTGAGAGGATGGGGAGATAAATGGGCATATGATTCCTGGGCCCTGGACCCCAGCACCCATGCTTCAGGGAGCAATCTGCAGCTCCTGGTCTACTCGGGAGAGAGAAGCTGGGACAGAAAAACCTAAAGCAGGGCCGCTGCCTGCCCAAGACATCCTAGTGGCTGGCTCTGTGGAGGACGTGGGTAGTGCCTTGCCTCCTCTTCCTTTGTTTCTCACTCATGTTACTATTTGGCCGTTGCTCTGGGAGACAGCAGCTACCTAGCCCTCCAGCTACTCCCCAGCCCCAGTTGTTGTTGTTGTTGTTGTTATGTGCTGTCGAGTCGGACCCGACTCATAGTGACCCCTCCTTGGGTTTCCGAGGCAGTATCACTACGGAAGCAGATTGCCCAACCTTCCTTCCGAGGAGTGGCTGGTGGGTTGGAACCGCCAGTCTTCTGGTTAGCAGTCAAGTGCCTTAGGCCCCAGAGCCCTTCACAATCTACTCCTGTCTTTGCTCATGCTGTTCCCTAGCCTGCTGTACCCTTCCTCACTCTCACTTCATCAACGTCTCTCTCCTCCAAGCCCCAGCTCAAAGGCTACCTCCTCAATGAGACCGCCTCCACCCGAACATGCCAAATTTAGCCTCCCCTTTCTCTGTCTATTCCATCCACACTGTAGGGGATTATTTGCATTTATTAATTCTGCTTTAATCTCCTTTGCCTATTCAGTTGTCTCCCTCCCAAACTAGACTGTGCATTCCCTTAATGGGGAAGGAGAGGCAGTTCATCTTCAAAGAGAAGCACGGGGCGCCTCTCATCTGAAAAGGTCACAGAACTCAGTGACCTACTATCCCACCAAGGCTCTGCTCAAGGTCAAACACCCATCTTCTCTGAACTTCAGTTTCCTCAGCTGCAAAGTGGGAATTGTGCCAACAACCCTAACAGGTTACTGTGAAAAACACATGAAAAGATGTAAGGGAAAGGACTTTGCAAACTGAAATTCGACATAAACACAAACTATTATTATTATTATCCCCTTATGGCATAGTGCCTAAGGCGTTTCACTGCTAATTGGAAGGCTGATGGTTCAAACCCACCTGCCACTCCTCAGAAGGCGGGTTGGGCAATCTACTTTCGTAGTGATACCGCCTCGGAAACCCAAGGAGGGGTCGCTATGAGTCCAATAGACGAGTTTGGTTTTGGTTTTTATCCTTCACCCAGCGCCTAGCACAGGGTCATCAGCAAAGGGGCACTCATTAAATGGTGAATTAAACTGTTTGCTGAAGTTGCAAAGTTGCACTGATTTGGCTGCACAAAATAAATAGTTGTCTATGCCCATGCCTTTTAGGAATACATTTTTGCGTAGCGAGTCATTCATTCATTCAGCATTTACCGAGCGCCTCCTAGTGGCAGGTGTCAGCTATCCATTTCCATTTTCTGCCTGGGCCTGGCCCAGAGGAGGCACTCAATCAGTATTTGTGGAACTGACAGACTGATTTTTTCAAGTCCGCTCACTTATGACTTACACTACGCCATACACTAGAAATGACAGCTCTGAAGTCATTTGTCTAGTGTTCTAGTTATGTTTTTTTTTTTCTTTTCCTTATAAATGCATGTATAAATATATGTTTTAATACACGTTAAAATACATGTACAATATATGCGCCTCACCTAAAATCAGCTCCCAGAGGACCAGTAGGGGCGCCCTTCGCCCGGGAAGTGCACGGATCAGGCTTCCCCGTTAGCTGGATTTTCCGCACTTCCGGGTTTAGGATCTCCACCCCCACCCTCCACCCCCGATTTTGGCTTCAGCCCCGGGGTTTTGGGTCCCCGGCCTGGCCCGGCCCGGCCTCCGCGACCCATACCTGTGATCCTGCCCAAGCGTCCTCCCAGCCTCCTGCCCGCCTCCGCAGCCGCGTGCGAGCCCAGGCTGTGGCCGATGAGGTGCACGTTTTCCGGGTCATATCCCATCTCGGTCTGCGGAGGGACGGGACGTCAGGCTATGCGACTACGCGGGTCCCACAGGACGGGGCGAGTATGGGCCTGGGCTGGGAGGGGGAGCCCTGCCACTACCTGGGATGTGGGTGCAGGAAGCAGGCTCTAAAGGAACCGGCCAGGGCCTCCATAGGGTGCGAGCCTACAGCAGGCTCGTGCGCGGGGCAACAGTGCTGACCAGTGGCCACCACGCCAACTGCACGCCTGCTCAGCGCAGGCGCGGACGTTCTCGCTGCTGCCGTGCCCCAGCCCACAGCAGCCTCCCTCCCCTCAGCCCTGGCGGGGCCTGGGTCTGTCCTGCAGAGCGTGGGTCTTAGGACGGAGCAACTCTGGGTTGTCCGGGAAGGCCGTCCAGAAGGATGCCAAGGGCCTTCCCTGGCTGATTGCCTGAGAAGGAGGATTCATCTTCTGAGCTGAGAACTGAGGCCCCTCTCATTCCCAGAGCAGCCTGAAAGGAAGGCCTTATTGCAAACGGTGGAACTGAGCTCACAGAGGGTAGAGAGCTGGCCCCAGGCCCCGCAGTTGGGTCATGACAGGGTCTAGGATCTTCAGGACAATGCGTGAGGGAGTATTTTGGTTAGCCTCTCGGCTGCAGCACCTGGCTCCCAGCCCCTGTCCACAGGTCCCCCTGCTGCTCTGCTACAATGTGGCCCTTCCCTGCCCCTTCCCAGAGAACGTGGCCCGGGCAGGGATTACCGACAGCACTTGTATTAAGAAAGCCGTCTCGGCGCCCACGACCCGGATGTTTTGGACAGCTTGGGTGTACAGTGTCCGGGACCCCCCTTTCCAGTCCACGCAGAAGCAATTCACCGCCTCCACTTTAAACATTTTCTGGAGAACACAGTCAAGAGGGAGAAACCAGTTTACCAGCGTCAGTTTGGACCCGCCAGAGACAATATTGGCTACAATGTTGTGGCAAGCAGTTTTGGCGAACCTGTATCAATAATTTTTGAGACTGAAGTAGTGATTAAAAGGAAAGAAGGAGAAAAATCAAAAAGGCTTCTGCTCAATTTTATTTGGACAATCTACTTCCCTGGTGACATTGCCTCAAAAACCCAAGGAGGGGTTGCTATGAGTTGGATTACATTCAACAGCAGTGAGGTGTTTTTTTTTTTTTTTTTTAATGAATATATAGAGTTATTTATATGAATACAGTTGTTGTAGTTGTTGTTATTTGCCATCAAGTCGGCCCCGACTCATAGCGACCCCTTCTTGGGTTTCCAAGGCAGTATCGCTACAGAAATAGGCATGCCCAACCTTCCTTCTGAGGAGTGGCTGGTGGGTTTGAACCGCCAGCCTTCTGGTTAGCAGTCAAGTGCCTTAGGCCCAGCATCTGGTTAGCAGTCAAGTGCCTTAGGCACTATGCTACCAGAGCTCCTATGAATACAGTGTAATATTTCTTAGGTTATAAAAATACTAACTAACTAATGAATACAGTTAGTATTCGTATAACCTAAGAAATATTACACTTCAGCAGTTTTCAACTATATTTATCTCATTTCTCCTCCGGTACGGGAGGTGGTCCATGGAGGTGGGGGTGACTCCGTAATTACCGCTCTGGGTTACACCAACCCTACTGACACCAACTGAGAGAGAAATGCCAGGTAGTTTGCCGTAGTCCCCACCTCGGGGACTTTCTGGTGGACTCTTGTCTCTCTAACTTCAGAGGAGCAGTTGGCTGGAAAGTGGTGGGTTGGGAGAAGGTTGGAGGGGACGCCTGGGAGAACCCAGCCTTTCCTCAGTGGCTTTAGGAAAGACAGATCTGGGTGTATTGACTTCCCTGTCTCAGGGGCATTAGAGCTATAGTGCCCGCCTCTGTGTGTTCGGGTGCTGTTCTCCCCAGGAATGGCCAGGTGAGGATCACGGCCCCTACCTTGCACATGTCGGACAGCCAGCTCTCTTCCCCCTTATCTATGAAGCCATGGATGATGAAGCGTGTCTTGCGTTTCGGTTGGAAGTTTGAACCTGCGATGGTTGCTGGGTCCGTGGCAGTGATCAGCTGGTTTAATTACAAAAGATGAATTTGAATGTTGGATTTTTGAAGCCATGACCTGCAGAGCCAGACTCGGTAAGATGAGGTCAAGGGCTCACCTCCTATGAAGTTATGCTGGCCTGGAACGGGAGTTTCTGAGCTGGGGTTCATGGACAGATTCAGGAAGTCCAAGTTTATGGACTTTTTATTTTCATTAACCCTTAACTGAAATCTAGCGCCTCCATTTAATTACGAAATTAGGCCACAAACCACAGTGGTATTAGAAGCACCTGTGAATCTGTCACCACTAGAATGCTCAGATATTTTTGTGTTATATCATAGTGACTGCAGATATCTCAAACTATCTTTTACATCCATTATTATTCTAGATTACAGCAGTAGTTAGACCAGTCCCTTTATCTTGTTATTTAATGATGAAATGTAACAGTATATATATTTCTCTATTACTTATTTGTATTTTTAAAATATTTTCTTATTTTTCAATATTAGTTTCCTTTGCAACTCTCTATATATTGATTTATATCTTTATAAATATCACTCTAAGACGCCACTCATAGGCTTCTGCAGACCAAAGAGGTGTCCAGTACAGAAAAGATGAAGAACTCTGGTCAGAAGCATTGGGCATGGGGCCAGAGCCAGCCCAGTGGAGCTGTGAGGGGTGGTCTCAAGTCTGTGAGACTTAAACACTGACCTGCTCCCAAATGGCCCCCTTCCATGACCCCACCTGGACAAGATGCCGGCAGAAGAACCAAGATCACAAAATGGAAACAACTCAATGACCATGCTCAAGGAGACCTGCTGAGGGCACTGAGTGGGAAATTTGTCACCGAGGTTCTTCCGGCGTGACCTGCAGACACCCGACTCTTTACACTCTGTCAGTGAGAGGAGCTGTGAGCTCCTTGCATTCTCTGCAAGTTCTTCCTTTGGAAGTCTTGAATCCCAACCACCTGGAGTTAACCCCGCCCTGCTTCCTCCGCCTGGGAGGTCTTCTGGGAGTGGAAGTTGCTCAGAGGGTCTCCGCCTTTTCTCTTTTGTGGTTCCATAGCCCCTCTCCCTCACTGGTCCTCTAGCTCCTTAAGGAAGAATTTACAGCCAGTGAGGGACTTCTCTCCTTCCACTGTGCAGTGCTAGAAAGAGACAGACCCTCCTCAGGACACACCAGGCCTGGGTTTCCCTATAAAACCTGCTCATACCTCTCACGCTGTACCCAAAACACCAAACCCATTGCCATCAAGTCAGTTCCAACTCATAGCAACCCTACTGGACAGAGTAGAACTGCCCCATAGGGTTTCCAAAGCTGCACTCTTTATGGAAGCAGACTGCCACATCTTGCTCCCATGGAGTGGCTGGTGGATTTGAACTGCTGACCTTTTGGTTAACAGCCAAATGCTTAACCACTGGGCCACCAAGTCTCCTTCCCATCCCCTAGCACAGGATTTTTACTCTGGTGAATCTCCTGAAGTCTATGCATAAAGGAGTGGGAGTGTTGTACGCTTCTGGATTGAGCATCCATAAATTTCATGAGGGTTTATTACTGCAAGAGTTAAGGTTACTCTTATACCGGTGGGGAAGCCATCAGCATCTAGGAAGTTCCAAGGGAGTGAATTACACCCTCGACAGCATATAAAGGTTCCAGTGTGCAGGCCCTAATCCACCCACCATCCAGCCATTGCCAAGCCCGTGGTTACTTGGTAGTTGTTCTGATTTTCATTTGTGTACAGAAGGAAGCGGGTGCCAATGTCTTCAGGGGACCAGGGAAATAGCTTCAAAGGTCGCTGCAGGGTCCCTGCCCACGGTTGTTCATCTGAGAAGCAGCCAAGGTGTCCATAGCAGATCTCCTTCCCTGGGGCAGGAAGAGGCAGAGAACAACACTTGAAAGGCTCTGGAAAGGACCAATGTCATCTCAGCTACACAAATCAGCTGTCAGGATGGAGCCCAGGTCTGGCTAAGGCCCATGCCAGTCTTGGTCTTTGCCAAATGTTCACCAACCTTCTGCGGTGGTAAGCATCACTGGGCATTGGGTGGGGGTGGGAATGTGCATATTGAATATACACAGCCCCACACCTCTCCCTCAGACATTCTGATCCAAAGGGTCTGGGTAGGAAAATAGTGTGTTTAGTAAGTACTCCTTGTGACCAGGTAAATAGGGAAATCACCTGGGAATGACCTTGGAGGCGGGCCTTCCTGTCGAGGCAGGTGATCAGTGAAGCAGGAGATATGGTGGGAAATGCTGGGGGAGCAGCAGACCCCACCTCTACTGTCAGAAGCCAGGTCTCAGGGGCCAGGAGGCAAGGGAAGGTCAACAGTGGGCCGGGCCGGACCAGGAGACAAAGGAGGAGGTCCCAGGATGCCCACCAAAACCCTGCCAGGGATGCAGGAGACCATGTCTGCACTTGAAGAGAGTGCCCCTCAGAGGGTTTAGGGGGCCGAGGGCAGGCAGAGAGGAGAGGAGGTCAGGTGGCCCAGGCAAAGAGGGAAGGAGGCTCTGTGAGAAGTTCTGGGGGTGGTGAGGGGGAACAGGAAGTAAACTGGCTGGGGGCTCCGCGGCTGGGGCAGCAAAGGAGGCTAGTTTTGTTTTAGGACAGACAGAACCTGGGTATCTGAATCTCCTTTGGGCAGAAGCCAGGGAAGGGGGCAGCAGTCAGAGGTGGGAGGGACAGAGCTGATACCTATGGGAGAGTGGAGATGGGGGCAGTGAGCAGGAGGGTGGGCTCCTGCGGCCAGCCTGGCAGGAGCTGGAGTGCAGGGCGGGACACGTCCAGGTGGCATTTGCCTGCGATGTGCACTTGTCTATGTGGACGGATGGAGGATGTGAGGGTCCTGAACGAATGCTGCACCTTCCGCTGCCCGGTCACCTGCTGCCTCCAGGCAGTCCCTGCAGCCATGAGCCGTGCAGGAGGACTCAAGGATGGCTGCGAGGAGCACGTTGCTCTGTGCTTGCCACAGGCCGTGCTCCCTCATCACAGAAGCCGCTCGTTCTCTTGAAATAATGATAATGCTGTCAGTAATGACGGCTGTTAATAAGAAGAGCTCTGGCGGCACAGTGATTAAAGCATTTGGCTGCTAACTGAAAGGTCAGTGGTTTGAACCTACCAGCTGCTCTGTGGGAGAAAGAGATGGCGGTCTGCTTCTGTAGAGATTGACAGCCTTGGAAACCCTATGGGGCAGTTCTACTGTGTCCTACAGGGTCAGTTTGACTTGCAATCAATTCGATGGCAGTGGGTTTGGTTTGGGGTATGAATAATAGCTATTATGATGTCCTTGGGCTGCATCACCCAGAGGGCAAGACCAGGCATGGCCACTTTCTCCCCAGGGGGAGGTGACAGTGTTCTCACCTCTGACAGTGGCCAGCAGGAGAAAGCTGAAGGTCCAATGGAGCAGCATCTACATGGATGAAAACACACACCCACGTGCACAGGCATGAGGCTGGCAGCAGTGGAACCCTGGACAGGGCCAGAGGCTCTGACCCTTGAGGAAAGGCACTGAGGTCAAGGCCGCCCAACCTACAGGGAGTGGGCACCGCTGTGCTGGGATGCCGGACTTAGGGTTCCTCCCCCCAGTAGCATCCCCCTTCTAGGCCAGGTACCCCCTGGCAGAAAGGCTGCCAAGCCCTGCCATGCTCCCTGCTGTCATGGGGGCTTGGACTTACTGTTTGGCACCGCAGCGTCCACTCTCAGCCTGGCAGCTTGGATGTGGTCTTTTATAACAGGCTTTATCCTTAGGACTTCCCTTAGAGGAAGGGACAGGGGAAGATAGGGCAAGGCACGTGTGTGCTTTGAACCTCACTTTTATAAACACACAAAGCCTCTGGGAGCAGGAGGCTGTTTATATAGTGAGATTCGAGGAGAGGAAAACCTACTTTAGGGCAGGGCAAGGCTCTGTTAATCTGAATTTACAGGTTCAGTTGCCAAAATATTGTGTTTCTAGAGTGATAACAGGGCAATGTCAGGGTGCAGCACCTCTCCTTGAAAACCTCCTTGGGAACATGAACAACAGATTTGCTAGCGGGAGGATGTGCACGTCTAGGAAGACACATGCTTGGTTTACTTTGGGGTGGGGAGGGTGGCAGGTGTTCCCCCATGAACTTAGACAGTGCTCACTTTAGCTTCACATATCCCAGAGAGATGTGGCAAAGGATTGAAGGAAGGCAATTCTATTGACCAAGAAGCTTGGAAGACTCAAACACTGAATACAGCCTTATTTAGAAAGAAATGCGGTCTATTTTCAATGTACATGGATATTTGAAACCACCACCTGTCTATCAGTTGGCCAGCTTTCAAGTTGCTGTGGTGCTGGAAGCTATGTGACAGTGTTTGAAGCAGGGTGACCCATAGTGTCAGCAGAATTTCCAGATTAGGACAGAGAAGAAAGGCCTGGGAATCGACTTCTGAAGATAAGCAGATGAAAACTCTGTGGGTCACGACAGAATATTGTCTGATAAAGTGCCGAGTCCTTGAGGTTGGAAGACTCTCAAAATACACAGTAGGTGCATCAGTGGACTTGGCCGTGATGGTGAATATGAAGATGCACAGGATGGAGTGGCCTTTTCTTCTGCTGTACGTGGGGCTGCGATGAGTTGAAGCCAAGCTGATGTTGTTGTTTGTTGTTATGTGCCGTCGAGTCAGCCCCGACACATAGAGACCCCTCCTTGGGTTTCCAAGGCAGTATCACTACGGAAGTAGATTTCCCAACCTTCCTTCCGAGGAGTGGCTGGTGGGTTTGAACCACCAGCCTTCTGGTTAGCCGTCAAGTGCCTTAGGCACTATGCTACCAGAGC